CATTGTGTTATGAAGTTTAATGTAAGTAACATCGGTTAGAGTTGAGAGGGGTTAGAACTGAGGTCAGAGGATTACAGCACTCTAGGTAATTAGAAAATGTAAAGGTGGGAACGGTGGCCTTTCTTTTTAAATCGCTGTGGGAACACCTTACGATTATGAGGTGAGTAATCCGATACAAAAAAAAAACAACGTGTTCGGCATGGTTTTTGAGAAAGGGATGTAAAAGACAGGCGTTTCACAGAAGAAAGGAGACCGGGATGTGTGAGATAGAGTGAATAAACCGAGAGAGAGGGAAGAATGAAAATGACATGCTGCTAGTAAGAAACAAAGCCTAGTTCTAAATGTATGTGTTGTTGATTATAGTAATAAACAGCAATTTGTTATGTTTATAAGTATGAGTCAAATCCTGATATTAATATGAGTCAAATCTTGATAGAAATAAGGATAACTTCAATAAAGTTTAAGGAAAAGCGAAGTGTAAGTTTAGCACGATTATAACAAAGTGATGTCAGAAGAGGTCTAAAACCCATCGGTGAAAAATTACTATATGACATTATATGAATTATAGTTCCCGGTGAGTCGGTAGTAAGTTTCTAGACTTGCAATGTTAAATTCTGGAATTCGATTCACCGCGAAGGAGAGAGTGAAAATATCCCATTCTGTAGATTTGCTCTAAAAAAATAACACTAACTTTTATTAATTATAATCTATATTTATATTATTGTTTGTAGTTCTGGCTGTAAAAGTCCATTGGTGTAAATTGCATTTAAAAGAATATTGTATATTAATAAATTAACTTGTTGTGTATTGATTTTCTTACTGTGTAAGGAATCATATTAACATGTTACATAAATAGTATTATGAAAACAGGAAAATGTTCAAGTATATGTTTTTTTTGACACAATTAGAACACAAATAACTGTCAATGACCGATTATATCTATTGTACATTTGAGGAGATGTTTGGACTATTATTAATGAATATCTTTGTTAGTCCTTTTAATGGTAAACTGTATAATTTATCATAGCATGACAAAATAGTTTTGTTTGTGTGTTGAGTTTCGAGCAAAGCTATTCAAGGGCTATCTGAGCTAGCTGTCCCTAATTTTGAAGTGATAGACAAGAAGAAAAGAAGATAGTTAATATTACCAGGTGCCAACTGTTGGGCTAATCTTTATCAAAGTATAATGGAAATGACCGTCACATTATAACTCTCTCAGGAGACGATCATGTTCGGCGACGGGTTTCGATCCTGCGACCCGCAGGTTGCGATTCGAGTGCCCTAACGACCAAGTTATGCCAGGCCCTAAGCAAAATGATGACGTGTGTATGCGGTTGCATATATGCTGATGGCCCGGCATGGCCAGGTGGTTAGGGCGCTCGACTCGCAATCTGAGGGTCGCGGGTTTGAATCCCCATCACACCAAACAATCTCGCCCTTTCAGCCGTGGGGGCGTTATAATGTGACGGTGAATCCCACTAGTCGTTGGTAAAAGAGTAGCCCAAGAGTTGGCGGTGGGTGATGATGACTTCCCTCTAGTCTTACACTGCTAAATTAGGGACGGCTAGCGCAGATAGCCCTCGTGTAGCTTTGCGCGAAATTCAAAACAAACAAACAAGCATATATATATATATATATACTGATTACTGCGTGCCAAATATATATAACATTTTGTTCAATTTCAGATATATAAAATTATTGATTTTATATCGCAGAACGTGAAAGAAGGAATACACCATTATGAACAGATATGGCTGGTGTAGACGTATTCTTATTTCTTAAAACACAGATTCTCTTATTTCATTTCCAGGAAATACGTTTATTTAAAAACCGTGAGATCTCTAGTTGGCATTCAGTTGTTAGGATAATTTTTAAACTTCGCAACTTGTCTGAGAAGAAGTTAGCAAATATTTTGTACAAATTCGTGACGAAAGTGTATTAAAAGAACTGGACGAGCGGGTTTGGATTTATTTATGTGCAATGACACAACAGTTGTCAAACACAGACGACGAAAAATCCTAAGTGTGTGAAAATGTGGTAGACGATACTTCCTGTAAACACTCTATAAATAGCACTGACAAAGCCATCATTCATGTATGTTAATTGTTCAACTTAGGTAACACTAAATAGCTTATTTGCTGGAAGGGGAACGCAAACTTTTATTATAGTGTACTAAAGATTTAATGAAATGGCAATAAAAGAGCAAGTAATAAAAAGTTACTGATTTGGGTCAATAGATGATGTTTCTGTTTCCATACATCATTTAATTTCCCCAACTTTTGATATTTGAAATATATTCTTAGAAGCTTTTTAGTTACAACATTTGGCTTTCTGTTGTTTGGATATCTTCCTAGTTTACCATTTGATAAGGTTGCTGTTGTCAGACCTGTAAGCTGAAAAGAGTACTTAATAAAATAACCCAAATACAGAACTTCGGGATAAATGTATTACTGGAAGAACTTGTTTTCTATAGCACAGTCTGTATGAGTAACCATAATAGTATTACCTGAGTTCCTGTCAGTTGGTGTCGTCGTCTGTAAACTTTTTTTAATAATTACTCACTGTCCTTGTCAAACATTGCATGAAAGGTGATTTATGGTACGATATTAAGCTTTCTCTCTATTAAATTTAAAAGTTCAACGGTAATGGAGGTAGGGCTCTTTAACTTGGCTAATCGTTTTATAGTTGTTGTTTTAAAAACGTTTAATGAAGATCCGTGATTATGTACTATACCTGTTTTGCAGGATCTGTTATGTTTGATGAAAACAAGAAGTTCAAATGGTAGATATTAATGATTCAATGATAAGGCAGTCCTTAAATTTCAAATAACAATTGCACAGTTTAACAGTGCGTAATGCTAAAAGGGTAAATCAGTATAGACGACTTCTTATACATGCTGCAGAATTCTGCTGGAAGACTTCCAATCTAGGAGATCTCCTCCTGTTATATTTTTATCATCTTTGCATCGAAGCTTTGAGTGTCAAACTATGTAATATTTCAGTCAATCTGAAGATCTTTTTTTGTTTCACATTTAGGATATTCTACAAGTAGACTTGTAGGTGGACGTATGTTCGAATGTGCTTTTTGTAGTGCCTATAATAAACTGCGAAAGTTCGGACATTAAACGGTCATCCATGACTTCCCATAGATAAAAATACTTACCTTCATTTTCAATTAAATAAAAGCTGATATGTAAGGTTATGATAAACTTTGAATTGGAGTATGATAAACTCTGGAATAAAAAACAAAACAAAAACACATAAATGACACCTTACTACTTGAAATGAGGCTGGTAAATCTTATAAAGGGCGTTTCAAAGTTATGTCATAATAAACTTCATATCGATGTCGAACAGTTTGAAAATTAAAAAAAATATCTGCTTTACGTATTTTAAAAGTCTAATAGACTTAGAAGGTTGAAAATCATACATGTATATATATATATAACTAAGCATTTCACTATAAAGTCTATCAAAATGTGAATTTTTGAGACAAAATTATGAATACACTCTGAAAATTAATAACCCACAATGCCTACTCCTTCCAAAAGAATAAATACTAATACTAAAATATAATGACGGGGAAATCATAAAAAAAGGAAGTCAAGCTTCTTTTTAGGGATTCAGTTGGGAGTAAAAATAATATAAACATTAAAAACCTCGAGAATAGTGGTTTCACTTTATTGAGACTTTAACAAGACTTGAACTGAAATTTCATAAGCTGAATATATTATGTCGCAAAAATCAAGTATTCTACTAGCAAGGCGATCTAACAAACATTGACAATAATTTTGATTTTGTGGCTGACTAACTTGGTTACAGAGAGTAAATATGTTCACGTAGAATAATTTTCATAAATTTCTGACAAGATCAATACTACTTTTGGAATATAAAGTGAAAGAACGTGTAAAACTAAAAGTACTTTGCTTTTAGTACAGATGTTTATCAGTGTGGTATTAACACATCCTAGACCTCGATTAAGTTTAGTACAGATGTTTATCAGTGTGGTATTAACACATCCTAGACCTCGATTAAGTTTAGTACAAATGTTTATCAGTGGTATTAACACATCCTAGACCTCGATTAAGTTTAGTACAGATGTTTATCAGTGTGGTATTAACACATCCTAGACCTCGATTAAGTTTAGTACAGATGTTTATCAGTAGTATTAATACATCCTAGACTTCGATTAGATTGCACCCGTTTTTTAAGGAAAATTGCTTATAAATTTTGTTATTGAAAATAAATAGTTTTAGTAAATTTACCCACTTCAAACTTGAAGTTTGTATAATAGTTAACTACTGGTATTTAACTACTCCCAATCGATGTCTATGTTACAATATATTTAGCCTTAGCACTTGCGTTAAAACCACTCTTTGCCCATTTTTTAAATAGTTACTCATTGTCCTTGTCACAATGGTTGAGTTTGTTATTGTATAATAGCTACGCTTACCAGATCGATTATCTTCGCACCAATGCTAAAATCTGTTTAATTTCTCTATTCAACATTTGATGCTGAGTTCTTTACTTCAATCTTCCTGTGGGACAACGGCTAGTTTACGATTCCCCGCGGTAGACAGAGTAAATAGTACAATGTTGCTTTGCTCCTAAACAAACTTTAGTTACGTCACTAAAGTTTATAACCGATATTTCTGTCCAATTCTAGTATCAAGTGATCATCTGTATATAACCTTCCAACTAATTAACCTTTGTCGTGACTTTTCCATAAACCACAGATATTATTGTAGAGGATCGTTGCATACATAATTTATATATATATATATGTGTGTGTGTGTATGTGCATGTAATATGATTGATTTATTTATTTAAACGAAGAAAATTTCTGCCTTTTTATAAAATGCTTCAGTCAATGAATTTATCATAATGACCTACATAGCGGCAAATTATATGTGAAGGGAGGTATTTTGTGATAAATAACTTTTAAAATTAGCATCATGATATTTAATTCAACGTTTTTATTGTCTAAATTATCATCTCGTAGGTGACAATGGCAGACCGGACGGCGGCAGAGCGAGCAGTAAGAGATGCTAATCCTATCATTGATGGCAGGAAAGCCAACGTAAATCTTGCCTATCTTGGTGCAAAACCAAGAATCAACTCAGTGAACGGTAAAATCAGTTTTATGAATTTTTATATCGTCTCTGAAATGTCAGTGACCTAGAATAGTTGTAAGGTTCAGTAGTTGTTGAACTACTGCTAAATGTTGTGTAACTAGATTTCAATAAATAGAAACACGTTTATTTGTTTATTCATTTTTCAGAACCATGTAAACTGTTTTTTACACATTTCTTAGTTTACTCTCTCTTAAAAGTTCTAAATCTGGTACAGTAATCTTTTTTGAGTATAAATAAAGCACTATATCATTGTTTGTTTTTAATCTATTACTGAAAAACAGACATGTAAACAGTTGTAGCTTCACAGTATTAATATAAGGACACTGCACCGTAAGGTTATACCGAGAGGAAATTGTCTCTGAAAAGAGTTCTGAAACACTTATATGAAGACTACCACAGGTATATTTCATTGTGATCTTGTATCTCGAGGGTAATTATCGACCTGTGAAATTCGTACTTTGGAAAAATTCAGTAAAATAGAGAACTATATGTTGGAAATCCACAAATAGAACTGATCACAGAAAACAGGACATGTTTTCTGATTTAGATAAATCAGTTGTATGTGAAATATTACAAATTCACAAGTTCTTGGATGGTAACTGATCTGATAAATCTTTTGTTTAAAAGATAACGAGAACGCGATAAAATACAATATGCTTAATGAGAGTAAGTCATAGTCACATGACAAGGGATCTCGGTTTTGGTGAAATGCCTAGGATTGTACGCTTTGCGTTTATCGGATATATTGGTACTTAAGAGTAAAGTTTTTCTTAGCCTTAGAGTAATCAACTTCAGATAAAATAAAGGAATGTAGTGTAGAAAGAAGCTTCCTTTTATACATTTCCCATTAATTGAGACAAACTTGCTTAGATACAAATTTTTATAGATTAAACCAGATGGTTTTATTTCAAATATCTATTCAATACTTTGTTTTGAACACTTTTCAGATAAGACATTTTGTTATCAACACTTTCCAAATCAAAATTAGCTCCTTAGGTTATACCATTAAACTTCAACGACTAGAAGAATGTGAAACCTTAGAAGCGAGTTATTGATATTAATTTTGGTATATTTTACAATTAGCCATATATTGATTTGCAAACAATATATATAATCTAAAACTGACCGAGAGAGGTAATTCCTTGTAACATTTGTTAACTATACCTGCTTAATTATTAGTTCTTATCCATAAGTAAATATGCTAAATTTAAAATTAGATAAATACTAGAGTAGATCTGTAACTACAACATTTATTAGCCCTAATATGTCAAGTAGTATCAATGTCTTCTATATATATATGTATGTATGTATATTGTGGGTCCTTTTAAGAGCAAAAGAGAAGTGAATTTAAATATTGAACTGAATTTACCACATTTTATTCTTATTTTATCCTTTTTATATTTAGAGAAAGCTTTCTGAGCGAATAGTTGCATTTCACTAATTAATCTGATACTTTTTTAAGGTTTGACAAAAAGGTCCTGTGTTTTATTTTGTTTGTGAGTCAGTTGATGATCGTTCCAGATAATAGCAAAAGTAATTGTTTTTCATGCCAGCGTGGACAGAATGATGTGTCTGTATATGTGTTTTATAGTAAAGCCACATCAAGCTATCTGCTGTGTACACCAAGGGGAATCAAAACCTTGGTTTTAGAGTTGTAAGTTCGTAGAATTACCGCTGTTCCACTGGGGACGGAGAGAATGGACAGAAAAGATACTAAAGCCATAATTTTACTGAAATACGGTTGAGCATGTTCCACAATTATACGAACACATTTACATGTGTTGTATGATACTCGGATATCTAGAAAAAACCTTTTAATCGTTCTAATCCTTTCACTATTGCTTGTTAATTGTCTAACAAGTAGAGAATAAAAACTTTTAAAAAGCCACCTAGGAACAAAAACCTTAAACTATGCTATTTCTTTTTAAGTGTGTTTCTTTTCTTTTTTGTAGTCAGTGAAAACAATGTAACTTTTTGATTTTTTTACAAAAACCTATGAACATTCCCCCCACACACATTAAATTTGTAGTTATCGTAGCTTTTATTTATACAATTTTTGACCTTATAATTATTTACCTGCATAATAATTTTCCTTATCTTTAATACAACTGCTTCTCTTGTTTTATTCATTTTCTTCATTTAAATAATTGTATACTTTGGTATTTGTATACATATTATTTAGGTGATGACATGATGTAACTTTCTTTCGAAGGAAACCCTTATTATATTTTTTCTTTGTTGACTTGTGCTTCTACGCAGTTTTCAAGGGCTTTTAACTTAAATGCGTGGCAGTTTATCACAAAGTAGCTTTCATATATGCAGTGTATCCGATTAAGGAAGTAAGGCAAAGTTGTATTAATAATTGTAACAAGCCCTCCTGAATTTTACATCAGGTACATATACATACACAATGTTAGTTCAAGCTACATTAAGTAATAATGTTGGATAAATACAAGGCAAACGTATTATTAAGGCGAGCTTGTAGTGGTATCGTAGTTCATGAAAATATGTAAAATTGTCAGTTACTCTTTCTTTTTTTTTCAATTTGAATGGTTTTATGGATGAACATAAATATTTCAAGGTTTTCCAGTCATCAGACAGTTTAGGAGGGCCTTAAAATAATACTTAGAAAAAACTGGACTAAAATAATCCCTTTCAGTTTTATTATCATATGGTTTTTAGATTATTTCAAAAGTTTTAGTATTTGACTTATTGATCTGATGCTTTTGTTAGCACTCTTATGTGCATATGAGAGTCAATTAAATAAACATTATAATACTATTAGCAACAAACTGAAACAGAATGAAATCACAATAAACAGATAAAAAACACTGTGTTTGAAAGTCAGGTAGATCCATATTCTTTGACTTCAGATTAGCATGTAATGATATAAAAAAAGCATGTCTTTTATTTTTAGGGAAGTTAATAACATGATAACGTCATAAAACAATTCTAGAGTCCAAGCTCTCCCTGCTATATTTCGAAAGCTGAAGTTAAAGCACTGTATATATGTGTATCACGCAATTAATTATATTCTTGGTCTGTTTTTAAGAATAATTTAGTCTTGCATTTGTGAAACCATTGTGTTATCTCAGATCGACAAATCCTTACATTTTCCTTCCAGGTAATCCTCAAACGTTCTTGATCAAATCTCAACTAATTATAACTCCTTACTGGATTATATAAAACATGTATTTTTCTAACATGAAATATTAGTGCCTTAGAAATATTTCGTATGAAAAATAATTATATGAATTCAATTAATATTTATTTAACGGAAACCTTCAGTGTAAATGGAGTGGCAGGTTCACTCACTTTTTTAAAGTTTGAAATCCATCGCAAATATGTTTCTAAAACTATAGATATCTATTTAAAACACAATTAATTAATAAAGTGACGTAATATCGCCTATTTTATTAATGCAAAGTAATTTTGGGAAAGATAGTATTTGTTATATTTCATGTCCGTACATTAACGTTTTTCTGCTGTCCCATGCCCCACATTTTGTGTTTAAATGTACTTAAGAATATTATTGTTATTTTATCGCCAATATTCTGGGTTTGACTCCGCGGTGAATACAGCACAGATATCCCATTGTGCAGTTTCTAACAAGTTAACAAACTATTTCTTTTCCATTAAAGTGGTTGACGATTGGCCTTGAGCTCAAATAATTCAGATAATACTGTTATTCTAAATATAACTGTTAAAAATTGAGTTAACATTTACTAAAACATCTTACTCTTTGTTTTAAGGGTAATAAATAGAGTATTATTCATGCTTTAGATGGTTTCATAGTGGTTTGTAGAGGGCAATGAAATAAAATGCGAAATAGAATATTAAGTTGTTTAGATTTGTAAATTGTATTTGAAAAATATAACAAAATAATAAACTCTTCTTTTTACACAAGTAGTATAATTGTTTCGTTTGTTGTTAAGCACGAAGTTATACAACGGACTATCTGTTTTGTGTCCATTGTGTGGATCGAACCATGAATTTTACTGTTATAAACATTCACGTTAATTGCTGAGCTACCGGAAGGAACATCAGACTAAGTTAATACAATTAATATATACACACACACTAAAAGGTAACATTAATTCTACAAAGGCATGTGAAACTGTATATCTTTTGATTATATCTAGGTGTCATAATCTTTGTGCTCACAATATTGGGAGGGTTTCAATTACCCAAAGGGCAGTCTTGTTTCCAATAAGACAACAACTCACTGATATATTTCATTTATTACATCCCCCACCCTTAAAAAATGTGGTTTCTTTAGTTGTAGTTTATTTTAATCGAATAATGATTCTAGTTTTATATTTTTTCCTTCATGCTTAAGTCGTAGTAACGCTTAAATAAAAAGAACCAATCTTTTTATTTAAGCATTACTGCAACGTTACTTCTCCTGTCTCTTTCACTTACAACTTATGTTCTCTGCGAGATCTTACACAACAAAAATAAGCGATGTTTTAACCTTATTCTCTTTACATAGATGATTCTGACAAAAATAGATTTGAATGTATGTTTTCTTATTGTATCGTTCGTAAACTGTGCCAAATGCGTTTGTTCTCCCATAGCGAAAAAGAAAAATTGAAAAAGGCACACATAAAAGTAAGAGTGCTGAAAGTAAATGCTTTGGTGGGTTTAGAGCCTTCTTCAGCAAAATTGATTGAATGCAGCCATTGTCTACACTAGAGTGGCAATTAAGAGGAATATTACTTTGTATATATGGTCACATGTAGAGAACATTATCTCCATGAAGTATAACTGCTTTGAATATACAAACTCAACAATGTTACAATAATGTTTATACACTACTTCAAATTGAGGTCTTTGCGTTGGATTTTATTAATCGCTTACCTTTCGCAAATGTATAATGGAGTTTTTTTTTTATACAAGGTTTTCTTAATAATTAATCTTACTTAAAGGATTAAAGTTGATATTTATTACGTGCTCCCACTACATTAGTTACACGAAATATATAGTAAGGTAAT